GCCCTACACGACTCAGCCTTCCGTTTGTTCAAGCTAACTTGTTGATGTGTAATGAAGCACTTTGAACAAAGCCTATGTCTTCTGATCATCTTCAGAATTGGAGGGAGGCAGAGGAGAATCAAACCATGGAGTCCCAAGCATGGGTCAATGCAGACAGCAAATACACGAGGGATGGCAAAAGTGTCCGACCTGCAGGCACTTGTCCTGCACTTGCATTCAAGTGGAGCTGAAGTGAGAGAGATGATAACGAATCAGAGCACAGTCTTTCAGTAAACATTTACTATCAGTGGTTCTCGATGTTTCTACATACAAAATGAGCTTTTGACTTATTTCTAAAATCCATTTTAAAAAAGAACACTTTTCTTACTTTTTATTATGTGTATGTGTGTATGTGCACATGACTATAGGTGTTATCAGATGCCAGAAGAGGGTTCAGATCACCTGGCTCTGGAGTTACAGGTGGTTTTTGAGCGTCCTGATATGGGTACTAGGAACCAAACTCAAGTCCTATGCAAGATTATTATGTGCTCTTAACCCTTGAGCAGTCTCTCCAGCCTCTAGACTCTCTTGAACTAAGCTTTGATTCTCAGGAGAAAAGCCTTCGTGAACATCACCTCAGCCAGAAATGCTTGAGGCAAAGTGACCACAGATCAATAACTAGACCACAGGTATGACTTCCAGTGGCCTATCATCAGATAGACAAGAAATACAATTCAGATTTTTTTCTTTTTTTCAAACAAGGTCTCATGTATCCAGGCTGACCTCAAACTCATCACATAGCTAAAGACGACTTTAAATTTCTGATCTTTCAGCCTCCACATCTCAAGTGCTCATATTACAGGCATGCACCACCACTGCAGTTTTTATGCAGTACTGGTGATTGAACTCAGAGCTTCACGATGCTAGGCACACAGTCTACCAACTGGGTCACAGCCCCAGCTGCAGATGTAGATTTTTGGTCACAGGGTAGTAATGCCAACACTTGAAAATACTCATCACACAAAATGTATATCCTGGTAGAAGATTATACTACACGCAGTAAATATAGATATGGTAGATCTATAAGAAAAGGATTATTTTGATTTTATTTTTATGCAGCTTTGTGTATTATTTATGTCAAACTTTTCAGTTTTCCAATTCAAAATATATTACATTATTTCGGAACTTTTGGAGGACAATTTTTTACACTAAGCTTATTAGTACTTGTAAAAAACACAATGTACAGAAATATTCAAACAATGGAAAAGACCATTTAAAACTCATATTTACATGGAATTACTTATGGACACTTCCTATTTAAGGACTTACTCTGCAATGTAGTGAAAGAAAATCACTCTTGAAAGAAATTCTGGGGCCTTTCCCTTCAATTGACCTTTTTCCCTGGCTAGTTCAGGACGACTTGTGAAGAAATTAGACACTAGGAACTTTTAAAAAAATATTTTATTTATTATTTTTATTTTATGTGTATGAGTGTTATGCCTGCGTGTAAGTAAGTGCACTCCATGTCATGCAACACCTGCGGATGACAGAAGAGGCTGTTGGATACCCTGGAACTGGAGTTACAGACAGCTGTTAGCTGCCATGTGGGTGCTGGGATTCGAACCCAGGTCTTCTGTAAGAACAGTCAGCGTTCTTAACTGCTGAGCCATCTCTCCAGCCCCTAGGAACTTTTTATTACAGGGAAATTATCATTCAAAAGGGGACAAGAGGAAATGAGCTGAAGCCTGCAGTTTTCTGATGGCAGCGCCTCTCATTCTCTGCTAGCTAGCCCTTATCACAATTCCTCTGTCCCTTATCAAGGAGACCTCTGCCCTAGAACTCTTACATCACTCGAAGAAGACTAGCTCTCAGCAAGTATTTGTTCAATGAAATCAAGCTGAACTGAAACTGTTAGGAAGCTTGAAAAGGGTGATGTGGCATGACCACATAGCAGCCAAACCGACCTTCGAAGGAAATGCAAGTTGCACCATCTTATCTGTATCTTTGTTTAAAACCTTTGATGGCTACTGTTTATACTTGAAAAGAATCCAAACTCATAACTAGGTCCCAGAACACTCTAAATGGTCTAGCACTTACCTGCACTAAATTCATCTTCTACTTGCCCCCAACTCCATTACCAGCTGCATCCTCCCTTTCTCTATTGTTTGAATAAGCCAAGCTATGTCTCTCTCTGCGTGGACCACATTTTCCAGCTCCTCAGATACTAGCATTCTTCGTATTTGACAGGTCTCACCTGTCAAGGTTCTTCAGAAGATAAGAAACAATAGACCATATAAGAAGGGGTTTAGTAGATGGCTTCCATGCTCAGGTCATAGATGGAGTAGTTCCCACAATGACCACTTGCAAAATGGAGAGCTGAGGATATTGATAGCTGCTCAGTCCAAGATGCCGGAAGCCTCCCAACAAGAGGGTCCAATGATGCAGTCCCAATTTGCAGATGAAGGCTGGAGGTCCCCCTGGAGAGCCATTGGTACAAATCTGGGTAGGAAGGCTGATGAATCTGGAGATGGGTGTCCATGGGTTACAGCAGCAAATGAACCAATGTACATGCTCAAACACGTGTGACACATACATGGGTGAGCTTCCTTCTTGCTTTTCTTTCCATCTAGGACTTCAGTGTATCTGGTGATGCCATGTTCAGGGATGGTCTTACCCTCTCATTTAGCTGGCTGACTCACATGCTAATACTTCCCGGAAATACCCTCAAAGACACAAGTAGACTTGGATTAGTCTATTTTTGATGCTGTGTCAAAGTACCGGAGAAAAACAACTTAAGGAAGTAAAGTGGGGGTTTTGGGCTCACGTTCAGAGGTTTCAATCCATAGTCAGCTGCTTCGTTGCTACAGGCCTTTGGTGAGGCCCAGCATCAAGGGGAGAGGATGTGGTAGACAGTGTGGTGGAGCAGAGTGTCTTACCCCGTGGCTGCCAGGAAACAGAGAGGACAAAAGAGGAAGGTGCTGGGGATAGGAAAGACATACTCCCCATGATCTACTTTGTAACTTGGTAGCACTTTCTACTCCCCACCCCCTTTCAACAATGTTATCAAATTATGATTCCAGACCTGGGGAGATGACTCATTCTATGAAATGATTGTTGCACGAGCATAATAATCTGAGATTGATCCCCAGAGTTTGCATTTTTAAAAAAGCAAGTGTAATGGTACATGCTTGTAATCTCAGCACTGGGGATGCAGAGACAGGAAGATACTAGAGGCCAAATCAGTGAGCTCCGGGCTCAATGAAAGAGCTATATCAACAAATAAGATGGAGAAGCAACTGAAGAAGGCACATGATGTTGACCTCTGGCCTCCAAAACTCCTGCACACAGAGAGAAACACACACACACACACACACACACACACACACACACACACACACACACTGGATGAATCCATTGATGGGGTCAGAGCCTTCATGATCCAGTTATTTCCTAAGATCCCATTTACTGACAACAAACCCTTCAATGCACAAGCTTTAGGGGCCCTTTTATATTCAAACCTAACAGTGCTTACTAGTGTTGTGTTTCTCAGTCTAGTCATAACCAATATCAGTCATGGCACCTCCTCAGGCCGTGTCCATAATCCTTTCTACTTCTCTCTGCCATCACATGTTTGCTCATGACCTTTACAGGAGCTGTAAGTTTGCGTGCGTATGTTGTTGCTGTTGTTGTTTTTCTTGTATTTTGTCTGTCTTTTTCTGTACTATAAACTCAGAGAAATCAGGACAAGAAGTAGCTTGTTCTCTCCCTGGCTGTTCTAGTTTCCCTTTCTGTTGCTGTGATAAAAGCCCAAAACAACTTAGAAGAGGAAAAGGTTTATTTCATCTAACACTCCCAGGTCACAGCCCATTATTGAAGGAAGTCGGAGCAGGAGCTCAAGACAAGAGCTTGAAGGCAGAACTACTTGCTACTCCACACAGCATTACCTCCTACTGGGAATCTCACTCATAGCCAAGAAAGTACGGCAGGAGCCATGGGGGATGCTGTTTGCAATCTGGCTCAGCCACTGGTTCGTGCTTAGTTAGCTTCTTTTATATAGTCCAGGACCACCTGCTAGAGGGATGGTATTGTCCACAGTAGACTGGGTCATTGTACATCAATTAATAATCAAGACAGTCCCTCACAGACAGGCTCACAGACCAACTCAATCTAGGAAATTCCTCAACTCAAGTCTCTCCTCTCAAATAACTCTAGGCTGTGTCAAGCTGACAGTTACCAGGACACTGAGCCAGTATAGCAACTGTCATATATTAGCAGAAATATAGGAGACAAATGGAGGGAAGGAAAGAGAGAAGTGGAAGGAAAAGAAAGGAAGAAAGGGGGAAAGGAGGGAGGGAGGGAGGGGGGAACTGAAGGAGGAGGGAGGGGGAGAAGGGAGGGAGGAGGGAGGTGTTTCAGATCTGCAGAATCATAGATATGATAGATGTTTGATTAGAGGGAAAGAGAGGAGGGGAAAGGAGGCCAGAAGAAAGCACCTAGAGATGTTACTATTTACTTATTTAAGCAGCAACCACATTTCAGGTGTTTTATTAATTATTTCAGCTAATTGTATTTAATGGCTTGAAGAAAAATAATTGGTAAAATTTCCTCTGAACCATGAGAAAAAAGAAACTGAAAAGTTAAAGGCGTTGTCCAAGATCCCACAGCTGGTTCTGAATGTGAGGGGCCCAGGCTGTCCCCACCTCTCCCCAGGGTCAGGCATTTCCTAAGACCCTGTGGGTTACTGAACAGCTAGCATGTTTCACAGCCTTTTGTGGGTTGCTGGAATTGTCTGTTTTTCAATTTTGTTTTGTTTATCAAGTATTCTTTGAAAGACACTGAGGACCATCACATTTCAACTGAAGTAGAAGATGGAATTGCTCAAGGGTTTGGATGGGAAGCAGAGACAATGTGGCCCCACCAGACACCCAGGGCCAGGAAGCCAAGGCTGACTGGCAGGCTGCCCTGGGGAAGGAGGGGACGTTTCCATGGGGCTAAAACAGTAACACTCCAGGTCAGCTAAGGCTGCCTGTAGGGCAGAGCTTCTTGGGAAAAGACAGTAAGTATTTTCATCTTTGCTTTCTCTCACTACGGCAGTTATAGACCACTCATACTTGTTAGAACATGATTGTTGCCTGCGTTTTAGATGAAGATATACTTCCATACAAATTAGAGTTTAGGTATACTGAAGCAAATTCACAAGGATTTTCATAAAGGAAAGTTTGCTAAATTTCAGTTATAACAAACTAGTGAATTCAAATCAATTCACAAACCATAAAATTGGATCTATTTAGGGTGTCATGTTCAGTGGGTTTAAAAATCCTAGAGTTGTGAAACCATTATGCACCACAATCTAATTTTGAAACATTTCACCACCCAAAGATGAAACCCTGTACTTTGTAAGCAGTTATTCCCCACACCTACCCCCATCTCAGTCCTAGGCAGCTATTAATCCACATTTTGATGCCATAGATTTGCCTGGTCTGTGCATGTCACACAAATGGAAGAATGTCACATGTGGTCTTCTAGGTCTGACTTTGTTCACCTTGCATGGTTTAAGATTCACCTGTGAAGAATGTATCACTAATCCATTGATTTTGTGTATGTGTGGGCACACATGTGTGAATGTGGCTGTGGTGGATACAGGTCAACGTTGAGTCTTGTTCCTCAGGAGCCATCCACCTTGTTTTATAGAGAAGCTCTCTTGTTATATAGGGTATCTCATTGGCCTGGAGCTCACCAAACAGGCTAGGCTGACTGGCCAGGAGCCCCAAGTTCCTGCTTGTTGCTGCCTCTCCAGGCTAGGATTACAAGTGTGTTTTATCCCTAATGGATACTAGGAATTAAATTTGGGTCTTCGTTCTTACACGGTAAACAGTTTACCAACTGTGCTATCTCCCAAGTCTTATTCAGTTTACCACCAAATAATATTCTGCTATATGAATGTGATAAGTTTTATTTGTATTTTCATCTGTTGACTAATATCTTGGATATTTACACTTGTTACTTATGACTAAGGCTTCTATGAACATTCTTGTCTAATTTTTTATAGATATATTATCATTCACTTTTGTAGGTATCCATTGGAAGATTTATGCTTTTCAAAACTCATTATGAAGCTACAGTGATTAAGGTTGGGTGAAGGCTTATGGTCATCATTAAAGTTGGTGCTGCGAGACTTAAAACAAACCTGCACATCTCCCTCCACACCTTCTGCCATTTTTACCCTAGTCACTTGTCTTCCCAGCTCCCTCTATGTTGGTATCTACTTTGGGCCCTGTTGATAACAGTGGTAAAGGATCCTAAACTCTGGCATAGCTCAGCAGTGATCCAAGGCATACTGGGGACCTTGTTAACCTCTCAGGATAGGAGTTGATGACTCTGTGACTTGCCTTGTCTGCAGTCACCTGGCATGTTAATATTACCAGCCTTCCTGGGAGGAGAGAGGCCTCCCTAGAGCCTTGAAGCCCTGGGGCTTAAAGGAAACTGACCATCTCACTGATCAGGTGCTTGCTTCTCAAGCCTGCCTTCTTTGGCCCAAGAATGCCTATAGCTGGTTGCTGCTGGGCACCAAGTAGATGGGACACCCTCCACAAGAAAATGGGGAAGGAGGGGCCAGAATTTCCCTTCTTGTTATATAAGTTGTTTTTAAGTTCCTATGCAATAGCTGCAACTTTGACCCTTGGCATAAAAGTTGTTTGCTGTCTGATCCTTTGCAGAAAAAAAGGTTGTCAACCCCTAGTCTACATATTCGAGTTGGAAGGAAGCCCTTTACTTTACAGCATATGCCTCCCAGTCACAGAGTGCTAGACCTGGGTTTGAGATCCTCCACTGACAGTCACCCAGATAAGTCCTATTCATCTCTGGGATCCAGCCTAGGGCTCCTTACAGAACAGTTCTGTTTTCTCCCCAGTCTTAGTGAATGGCTCTTTCTTTCAGTCCCCTGGACACTCAGGGTATTGAGTTTTAATTATGTTTACTCCTTTCTCTTTCAAGGGCTGTTCATACATTTTGTTGTGTAACAGACGCCACACAAAGATCCCTACTCTGCATCTTAGAGTTTCAGATTCAGTAGGTCAAGGTCAAGGTTAAGCCCAATAATGTGCGTTCTTAATGAAATCTCAGAGCTGCTGCTGGTCAGAGTTGATAAGACAGGCTCTGTTCCCTTCTTGAGATCTCAACTTACATCTTAAGATTAAGGGCATCCCCAGGGTGTGCACTCTGAACTCCTCATGTGTTTATGCCATCATTTCTCAAGATTTCAGAACTTGGCATCTTTTACATTCTTAAAATAATCCAAAGAGCTTTCATTTATGTAATTATGTCTATCAATATTAACACTATGTAAAGTTAAAACATCCTGAAGTATAGATAAATTAATTTATAAGAACTGGGATAAATCCATTACATGAAAAATATCTTCATGAAATTTCCAGAACAATAAAGAAAGTGAAGAATAACGTTGGGTTATTCTCTGCTCCCTGAATCTCATCAATAGCTAGCTTAATTGGAGTCAGCTTGATTCTTATATCAATTTTGTCATCCAATTTGTTGTTTTGATTGAAGTATATGAAAAATATGACTTCAGACATGTGTAAAGTTGGAAAAGGAGAAGTATTGTTATAGCTTTTACAGATAATTGTGGACTTTCTTCTTTGATTTTACATCCAACCTGAACAAGTGGTAGGGTTTCTCTCTCTCTCGCTCTCTCTCTCTCTCTCTCTCTCTCTCTCTCTCTCTCTCTCTTCAGTTATTTTTACTATTTTTAATTATGTGCATGTGTGTGTCTGTGTGTATGTGCACATGAATACAGGTATCCTTGGAGGCCGGAAAATAGTGTCAGATCCCCTGGAGCTAGAGTGCCAGGCAATTGTGGGCAGCCTGACATGGGTACTGGACACTTAACTTGGGTCCTCTGCCAGAGCAGTGTGTGCTCTTAACCACTGAGCCCTTCCTCAAGCCCCTAGTGATAGTGTATTAAAGATTAGCTGTAATTTAGAATCTGAAATGGTCTCCATGGACCTGCCATGCTCCATTTCATTAAAACCCCCTGGTCCATTGCCAATGGCTCTTTACATATACTTCAATTTGCAACGTCCTCCCCTTATCATATGGAAAATACGGGTCCATGGAGTGATGATTATTTGCACAAATTGACACATTTCATTATACAATAATATAAAAGCACATCTGTTAAGCCATATATTCAAGGATAAGAGTCAATAAAATAATTCTTATGGTATCACGAGGCACACTTCAGTAAAACCGGGTTTTTCCCTATAAAAGTGGCAAATAAGGTGACAACCAGACCAGTTTGTTGTCTGTCGTGCTTTGTGTTCAGCAGTGTTCTCTACCATTGTCTTTGAACCATCAGGAAAATTGACAACAGGATGAACAAAGTCAGTGACATTTCCATATTATAATGAAAACAGTTTTCACTTCGTAAGTCCCTTGCAAAGTATCTTGGTGACCCCTAAACATCTGTAGATGACAGTGTGAACACTGGTGGTTCATTGTGTAGTATTTTGTGTATGTGCATATATGTGTGCATATGTGTCTTTATCCGTGTGTGTGAATGCACGAAGGGACATACGTACATGCAGATGTATGCACTTATGTGTGGTGATCAGAGAAAACCTTGGGTATTTGTCCTTAGGGCCTCACATCCTTTGTTTGAGACAGGGTCTCTCTCAGTGGCCTGGAACTTTACCAAGTAGGCCAGGATGGCTGGCCACTGAGCTCCAGGGATATATCTGTCTCTACATCCCATCTTGCCATCACCAGGATTACAAGCATATGCCACCTAGCTTTTTATGGGGTCCTGGGGATCTGAACTCAGGTCCTCATGCTTGAGAAGCAAGTGTTTTACTGACTGAGCCATCTCTCAGCCCCTTCATGGCATACTATTAACAATATTTAGTTATTATATTTGTATGCTGTTATATGATATCACAATAGTATTCAGTTTCCATGGACTACTTGCTCTGGGTCCAGTATGCACATTTCATGTAGATTGTCACTGCCCCCACAACAGCCCTGAATGCTTTTACAGATGAGAAAGAAAACACAAAATTTCCAACACTAACTTAAGTTAACATAAAACTATTAGAACTTTGAAGTGGGATTAGAAAGTCACACTGAAAGACAGTTGGAGGAGGCCACACTGTAGAGTGCCAGTCTATGACTGTAAAGTACTTGCTAGGAATAAAGGGTCGTATGGAATTTCCTGTTTCATATCTCTGGAAGATTCTGTCATGGAGTTGGCAAAAATATCAGACATGACAAAGCTCCACCAGGCTGTGGCTGCTGGGGACTGCAATTTAGTGAAGAAGATTCTAAAGAAAGGTCTGTGTGACCCAAACTACAAGGATGTGGACTGGAATGACAGGACCCCTCTTCACTGGGCAGCAATCAAAGGTGAGTAGACAGTGCCTCAGTAGACCCTCTCACTCTGAGGTCATCATTTATGAGAGCATCAGTCTGTGTGAGGCATTAAAATGGACATTTCTTTATGATTAGATGGAACATGTCAATCCTGGTATCACCCCTGTCCTAGTCTGTTTTTCCATTGCTGTGACAAAATACTCTGACCAATACCAACTTGAGGGAGGAAAGGGTTTATTTGGCTTACATCTCCTGGGTCACAGTTCATCAGGGAGCCTAAGGTAGGAACTCAGGGCAGGAACCTGGAAGCAGGAACTGGAGCACAGGCCATGGAGGAACTCTGTGTACTGGCTTGCTCCCCTGGACCCTGCTCAGCCTAATTTCTTATGCAACACAGGTCCACCTGCCCAGAGCTGGTATCACCCACAGTGAGCTGGGCCCTCCCACACATCGCTCAACAATCAAGAAGATGCCCCATGGACATGGCCACAGGTCAGTCCAATGAAGGCAACTCCCCAATTGATTGAGGCTCCCTCAACCCAGGTGTGTCAAGTTGACACTAAAGCTATCCAGCACAACTCCTAACTAGCTGTAGCACCTGGATCATGCTGTTTAACGCTTCTGGACCTCACTCAACTCTTCTATAGCATGAGGTCAGTAAGGTTAAACTGGATTCTTGTCATGGGAAATCAGATGATGTATGCAATGCTGAACATATTACAATGTTCTCAACTTTATTAGTTCTCTGACCTCTTGGCCCGTTGACATGAATGGGGTATCATAGTGATGAATGGGAACTGTGCTAGTTAGCACTTTAAAAATTCTTTTGAGTTATTTATTTAAATTTTATGTATATGAAGTTTTTGTCTGCATGAATGTAAGTGTACCCATGTTGCACAATGTTCACAGATGTCAGAAGAGGGCATTGGGTCTCCTAGAACTGGAGTTACTCACAGTTGTTAGCCACCTTGTGAGTGTTGGTAATGGAACTCAGCAAAAGCAGCCAGTGCTCTTAACCACTGAGTGATCTCTCCAGCCCTGCTCATTAGCTTTAACTGTCAATTTGACACAGTCTAGAGTCACTTGAGAAGGGAGCTTCAGCTGAGGGGTTTCCCAGATCAGACTAGCCAGGGGACAGATCTGTGAGGGAGAGTCTTGATTGGTGATTGATGAAGGAGGGCCCAGCCCACTGTGGATGGCATCATTGTGTGGGAAACCTAGCGATGCATGAGCCTTTCACTGATTCAGAAATCATCATTCCTCCATGTATTCTGCTGTAGTACCTAGGCTGTGAGTTGGAGGTAATTTTACATGAAATAGCAATGCCTTGACATTCCTGCCTTGACTTCTCTCAGTGATGGACTGTGACCTGGAAGTATAAGCCAAATTAATCCTTTGTTCTCCAACTTTCTTTGGTCGATGTGTTTCATCACAGTAACAGGAAACTAAAACAAGGTCTCTCTCTCTCTCTCTCTCTCTCTCTCTCTCTCTCTCTCTCTCCCTCTCTCCCTCTCTCTCTCATATCACAGTCCAATTATATAACAGGATGTTAATTGCACAAAATCAATCAATGTGCTTTTCAGGGTCTTTGGCAATAACACTGAAGAATGTGAAGTAAGAAAGTTCTGTGTTAAGCTCTGATTTTTAGATATTTTCTCTCCTGTGGGGTGAAAGGAGCAGGCAGAAAAGTCTGACTCACTGTAGAAAACTTGGTTTGGATATTGTGCTGGAAAGCTTTAGTTATCAACTTGAACACCTGGTTAGAGGGAACCCCAATAAGGAATTGTCTCCATTGGATTGGCCTGTGGCCATGTCTGTGGGACATTTTCTTGATTGTCGAGTGATATGGGAGGGCCCAGCCCACTGTGGAAGTGCCACCTGGACAGGTGGTCCTGTGTTATATATGAAAGCAGGCTGAGCACATGCAGGAAGAGCAAGCCAGTAAGCAGCTGTCCTCCATGGTCTCTGCTCCAGGTTCCTGTCCTGAGTTCCTGCCTTGGTTTCCCTTGATGATGGGCTGTGCTGTGAGCCAAATAAACCTTTTCCTTTTGAAGTTGATTTTGGTCAGACTGTTTTGTCACAGTAATAGGGAAGCAAAGCAGAGCAGATATTTTTGCAGAAATCTAAGTATGGAGCAATGGTATGTATACTAGATGACCCTTCAGGGAGCATCTTCTGTGAGTTGGACATTATGCCTGCTCCTTTGTATCTGTGATTTCACTTGGACCATCTAAGACTTGCTGAGGTAAGTGGCAGCATTCCTGATTTACAAATAAGGAAATGAAGCATCAGGCATTTGTTTCTCATTCAAGGTATTGTTTGATAGATAGTCAATGATGCCCTCAGGATCTGAACCCACAACTGTCTGATTAGAAAGCCTGTGTTCTTAAACTGTGCTAGCTATACTGTAAATGGGCTTACATTCTTATTACTGTGTATGTACATATCATATTTGTGTAGGTGGGGATGTACCATGTGGTGCGCATGAGAAGGACAGAGGACCGCTTTCAAGAGTTGATTTTCTCCTCCTTTGTATAGGTTCTCAGGATCAAATTAAGGTCACTGGGCTTATGTGACAAGTTCTTTTGCCCACTGATTTATCTCATCAGCCCTAGGCTTAATTTTTTAAAAATCAGTGCTGAAGGATTGAAAGTTTAAGGCATGCCTGGGTTACAGAATAAATTCAAGGCCAGCCTAAGCAACTTAACCAGGCCCTATCTCAAAAAGTAAAAAGATATTTACAGGCTATAATTCAGTGGCAGAGCCCTTCCCTAGCATATATAAGTGTAGGAGAGCGCTCCCCTATAATATATAAGTGTGTATGTATATATATATATATATATATATATATATATAAAATATTATATATGTTCAATCTCAAGCACCACAGAATAAACTAATTAAAATACAAAACAACAAAAATCAGTACTGAGGCTGCAGAAGCTAATGCTTCAGTGGTCAGGACTGGAGCAGATTTCTAGGCAAGGCCTAGGACAGTGGCTGGGAAGAAGGGTTGTCCCAGGAAGAGTACAGGAAGTACTTTGAGGACTGAGGTCTTTGGTGGTGACAAAGTTTGATAGTACAGTACTGCCTCCCCACAAAGAAGAAAAAGAAGAGTGAGGGGACAATGGTGGCCAGCCAGAGGCACCTGGAAAGCTGGTCTCCTTCCCCCGCTGGTGTTGTCTAGGCTGGTCCTGGGCTCAGGCTACTGTGGGAGTTTTCCCTCAACCTCATCTTCCTTCTTCTTGGTTTAACTAAGGGCAAATGGAGGTGATGCATCTCCTGATAGAATATGGAGCCAGACCCTGCCTGGTGACTGATGTGGGCTGGACCCCAGCTCACTTTGCTGCGGAGTCAGGCCATCTGAGTATACTCAAAACCCTCCATGCACTGCATGCTGCCATTGATGCTGCTGACTTCTTTGGAGACACTCCGAAGAGGATTGCACAGATCTACGGGCAGAAAGCCTGCGTGGCCTTCCTGAAGAAGTAAGTGCCCTGATTTCCCAGCCATAGAAACAACAGGGAAGCAGGAGCCTATAATCAAAGTCTTTGCCAACTCCCTGATCTCTGGAAAATGACAGTTGAACAGAGAGATCAAGCCAAATATTGTCTTAATTTTTAAAATTGGTTTTTAATTTTTTTGTTGACCATTTGAGGGTGAAAACAGCATTTATTTATTGCTTTAGACTATAAAAATTACCTCTAATAAGATGGTTGGAACTAAGTTAGAAGATGGGACATGGCCCAAGGTTTGTGATTACCTTCAGATTTCTGAAAGGTATTCCATCTAGCTGTGTGACCTTGTACAAGTTAAAGCAGCTTCCTGATACTGTTTCCTTATATGGAAAGTGAGGCAGGGGCTGGGGAGACAGCTCAGTTGGTAAAGTGCTTGCTGTGCAAGCTCGAGGACCTGAATTCAGATCCCCAGCACCCAGGTAAAGTTGATCATGGTGACCACATCTGTAACCTCGGTTTGGGAGTATGGAGACAAGCAGATCTCAGGGGCTCTCTGGCCTGACAGCCTGAAATGTCAGGTTCCAGGTTCAGTGAGAGACCCTCTCAAAAAATATGGTGTTACAGCAATGGTGACAACATGCACAAGACCCATGCAAACTCAAACCAGACAAAAACCTCACACAGAAGTGGTGAAATGGGTAAGAAGCCCCAACCTTAGCTGAGCTGAGGAACTATTTGCAGCTGATCACTGATGGGTGACAGAGAGTTGTTCTTCTTTAAGGGAGTGATACTAGATAGGTTGGCAAGGCTCCAGTGAATGAACAGACAATGAGGACATTTAGGGACAGAAATGACTCAATAGATCTTAACATATATGACAGAATGCATGAAAACCAGCAGGGGAACTATTGGAGGTGCAGATAGGGGAGAGGTTCTAAATATGATCACGATGGATTGTATGAGCCAGGTGTGGTGGCACATGCCTTTAATCCCAGCATATGGGAGGCAGAGGCAGGCAGATGGCTTCAAGATCAAGGCCAGCTAAGGCTACAGGGAGACCCTGTCTCAAAAAGACTAAAAAAATATATTAATCAGTGACTGTTAACAGTATACCAAAACAGACTGTTAGTGAAGAAAAAAATCAATTTAAAAAAAAGTAAAAATGCAGTGGAGATTGATCAAGAAAGATTCCCTACATCAACCTCTGACCTCTACACACTAACATGGATACCTCTGTGCACACATACATGCATGCCCACATGAACACCACACACACACACACACACACACACACACACTCAAAAGTGAGGCAACTGAATTTTATTTTGTTTATATGAATCACCTACCCAGACATACACCAATGATAAAGACTTGTCTAAATCTGTTCATTTATTCACTTAGTCAAGCAGTGGAACATAGTTAAGTACTAGTGTTCTTTATAGTTTTGGTCCTGAGAGGAATGGAAATAAAATTTATGAGTTTATAATTTTGTTGAGTCAGTAAGTGATTCGTACAAGAAAAAATTGAATAGCCTGAACTGACCATTGTTGCTGATAAGAATGAGATAGATTGAAATCAGTAGGCCAGTTTATGGCAGAGTACAGTAACAGTCAACCATCTCCTACAATTTTAAAGTTAGTGTCAGAAAGTTAAACTAGGCCAAAATGATGATTAAGGCCTCTATTTATAGTTACTCAAGAGCCTGATTCAAGAAGATTGTAAATTCAAGGGCTGCCTGGGCTATAGAGTAAGTTCAAGGCTAGTCTGGGCAAAGTAGTAATATGTCTGTCTCAAAAATTAAGAAAAAAGAAAGCTGGGGTCGTAGCTTAGTAGTAGAGTGTTTATTTAGCATGGATGAAGCCCTAGGTTCAGTCCCTGGCCAAAAACAAAGTTAAATTAGTAAAACTGTTGCCTAGAGTGAAATTAACTGTTCATAGAAATAACTCAAGAGACCCACTCATAAAAACAGCATCACCCATTAAAAAATACCCCAAATCACAAAGGAGGTGGCTTGAGAACCAAAGAGGCAGATCTCAAATACTGCTCACACAGTCTCCCCAGTTCCGACCATCTTCAGCTATATCCGAACCTCTTATTATTCAATACTTTCCTTTCCCAACTTTTCACTTATTTGTGGGGTTCGCTAATTTTCTTTGCCGTCTGGACACCTTGATACTCCACTTCCTTCTTCCCTTTATTCATAGGTTTCAGACCCTTCGCCATTTTGTACCAGATGACCTAGAATTCCCAGGCTTGGATAAATCTCTATATTCTCAAATGCTGGGGTTGAGTAACTAAAGAAAATCTCAGAACTAAATAAGTGGGTGTGAGCAGACGGCTGGAGATTTCTACTTCCAGCTGAGCCCTCAGAGTAGCATGGCTCGTTCTTTCTGTCCTGCTCCCTCCCTCCCAGGGCCATCTTATCTCACCCTGCCTCTCAGAGGGCATGCCTTCTACCTGATGCCATCCTCATCTTCCCGTCCTGCCTTGTGTGACATGATAGTCCTCTATCTGGACCCTTATGTCTTCTACAGGAAAGCTGGTCCTGCATTCTTTGCTGTGTTGTCATTTTATCCTGTATTTTTAGTTGTTTCTATTATTTTTCACTTCATTTTGGTCTTAGATGTTACTAAGTAGATGTTACTAAACAAACAAACAGAGGTCCTCTAACACTTCTAGTGTGTTTTTCTGTTTACTTATACTTCTAAGCTACCTGAAATTGAATCTATGTAAAAGAAATTGAATCTCCTTCCTCATATCTCATGCATTTTTCAGACATCACCCCCTATCCTTGTATTGAATCTGTTCTCACCCAAGTTATCATAAAGTTCCTGTTGGCTAATATATGTTCCCTGCTCAATTCATATTCACTTAATTTTTTTATATATTTTTCTCTTCCTTCCTTCCTTCCTTCTGTTCTTCCTTCTTTCCTCCTTTCCTTCCATCCTTTCTGTTTTGGCAGGGTCTCACTATATAGCACAGGCCTTCAACTCATAAGCCTCTTACTTCAGTCTCCTAAGTGCTGGGATCATAGGCATGTACCCCCATGCCCAGTTTCTCATGATTTATCCTCTAACACCTTTTAAATGCTGAATTTTCTCAGGGTCTTGTCCTTGGCTCTCATCTGCTGACTTTCTCTGAGCCATGTAAGCCCCTCCTTAGTGACCAGATGCATGTGATATTTGGCCCAAATACGATCAAAATGGAGCGGGTACTATTATCAGGAAAAACAGGCAGGCAGTGTAGACCAAAAATGTCAACCCCATTACATGTGAGTCACTTCTGTTTATCATTTCCCTCTAAGAATTTCCCTTCTGATGTTAGAGGATTTAGAGAGAAAGAATTCTATATAAAGGGGAAGTTAGGTTGGACATGGAAAGATATAACAAAGACCTGGCAGATGGAGGGGGAGGGAGGAAAAAATCTGTTGATGTGGAGTGTAGCCACCATGATGGATATGTGTGTGCAAGTGAAGAGGTGGAGGGGCAGTGGAGAGATGAATGCCTTGGCTGATAAAGCCATCACAGCAAGGAGAGCCACAGGCTAAACTGCATGAGTGGATGACCACAGTCAGCTGAGCAAAGAGCCAAGGCTGAACTCATCACAGGATTGACAAGCTGAAGCAGATGTGTTGGTAAAGTTGCTTACAGTGTCAAACACAGCAGGGACACTGTGCAGTGGAATTGGAGGCTTTGAGACTCTGGACAAGGGAACCACTGGAGGATTTGTACAATTTATCTTGAGAGGAGGTGAACTCCTGGGCTAAATAAGTTCTTGCATATAAACAAAATCACTACCATAGACTTTTTGTTTCTTTTTTCTCTTTTTTTTTTTTTTTTTGAGACAGGGTCTCACTTTGTAGACAAGGCTGGCATTGAACATGCGACAATTCTCTGACCTCAGCTTCCTGAGTGCTAGGATTATAGGTGTGGCCCACCATGCCAGGATGAACTAAACTTTTAAGAGAACATAAGGATAAAATCAGATACAGGACAGGACATGAAGTTCCCAGACTAGGAGGGACTGGCGAGATAGCTCTGTTGGTGAAGCGCTTGTCATGCATGCATGAGACCCAGAGTTCAATAGCCAGAAACAGAAACCACCTTTAAAAAGCTGAGCGTGATGTACTTGTAATCCAATGCTGAGGAAGCACAAATAGGCAGAGACATGTAGGACCCACTGGTCAGTCAGTAATACCCTGATCTGTGCGTGCAGGATCTGCTAGTCAGCCAGCAAAGTCTAATCTGTGTGCTGGAGGCCAGTGAGAGACCCTGTCTCAAAAAATAAGGTATGCAGCTGGAGAGATGGTTCAGTGGTTAAGATCATTGACTTCTTCCAGAGGACCCAGGTTTGAGTCCCACCACCAACATGGTGGCTAACAACCACCCACAATTCCAGTTCCAGAGGATCTGACACCCTCTTCTGACCTCCTGGAGTACTGCATGACATGGGTCCACATGTACACATTCAGGCAATATACTCACATACGTAATAAAAATAAAATATTTACCAAAAAAAACCAAGGTAGTCAGCACCTGAGGTACAACATCTGAAGATGACTTTTGGCCTCCACATGCATATATATGTACACACATGTATATGCACAAAACATTTTCTAAGTTCCCTTAAATAGCTTATCTTTATAAATAACACACAGGATAGAAAATGACAGAGAAGAAGGGAAGTTCTATGTGATCTCAAAACAGAAAAGTCACTTTCAGCTTGATGGTAGTGACTGAGGTGTGAGAGACAACCAAACCTGTTATCCTGTGAATGACCTGAATTCTTAAGAGTAATGTGACTTTGAAAAACTGTTTTCCTTCTTTGACCTATACCTATAATGTTATCTGTCTTCTCCAATTACCTTCTTCTCGTGACTTGAATGTTATCGCCTCTGAAGAGCTTTTTCCCATGCCTCTAAGCAAGTCATGTATTCACCCATGGCCTCACACGGAGAACTACATACATGCGCACCCCATTGTTCATATGCATACAACAGCCTCTACATCTATTTTCTATATACTTTTTTTTTTTTGGTCTTTTTGAGACAGGGTTTCCCTGTAGCCCCAGCTGTCCTGGAACTCACTATGTAGACCAGGCTGGCCTTGAACTCACAGAGATCCACCTGCCTCTGCCTCCCGAGTGCTGGGATTAAAGGCGTGTGCCACTACGCTATACATATGATGTATGTGATTAGCAGTGATTTTTATTTTTTTATGTTTTTGTACTTCAAATTTATTTTATTTTGGAGGCTGGAAAGATGGCTCAGAAGAGGACATGAGTTCAGTTCCCAGTTGGGTGGTTCATAAGCACTTGTAACTCCAGCTCCAGGATATCTGGTGCCCTCTTCTGGCCTTTGCGGGTACCTGCACTCATGTGCACATACCCATACATAGATACCTACACGTACTCATAATTAAAACTAATAAAAACAAATCTTTTAATTAACTAAGCCATTCATTTATTATTTATTTGAGACATGGCTTCATTTTGTAGCCTAGGCTGGCCTTAACTCACTCCATGCTGGTCTTGAACTCACAACAATTCTCCCACCTCAGCTTCTTGAGTACTGGGATTATAGGCATGACAGGCTACACTTTAAAATTGTAAACAATGGACATGCACTACTTTTATAATTAGGAAAAATACAATGAAAAGGAAACATCTTCCTAGTAGGTTGCCCTATAAATGTGAGGTCTTTAAGAACAAGTGTTCTCTTCTTCATGCCCTATTTGGACTGAGATTAACATGGCACCCAGGTCATAACATCTCCAAGGACCTTTTCTAGCATCTGAGACCTTCTTAAAGTGTATGCTTGGCCATGTATGAACTTATCCTTCTTCTTTCTGGATTGGATGGTCAATTATGTACACTGTATGGAGATCTCAGGAAGAGAGGTTGGTGCCAACTCTGGGATCTGTTCTCTGTTCCCCCTCACAAGCTTCTCTCTTCTCTCTCTCTCGTTCACTCTCTCCCCCTCTCTCTCTCTTCGCAGGGCAGAACCAGAATGCAGAGACCACCGCCAGAAGGGGCTGTTACTGGATGAGCGAGACCCAGACTGGGACTTCAAGAAAAGGGAACTGGAGCTGTCTCTTCCTACCCCAAACCAAAACACCAACAAAAAGAGTAAGAGAAGTCGAGGCCCCACCAGGCTCAGCCATAGCAAGGCCTGGAGGGTGTGAGATGGTGGAGCCCCAGAACGCAAGCCCATCTAAGATGCAGAGGACCTTGCCTGGAGCCAGACAGAGGGTATTAGCCTCCTTGTCTGCCTTACTCAGGGTTTTTACAAAAACCGAACTGAATATATATATATATATATATGTGTGTGTATATATATATATATATATATTATTACATTTGGTCTTTTTGAGATGAGTTCTCCCTATAGCCCCAGCTGGCCTGGAACTTGCGATGTAGACCAGGCTGGCCTTGAACTCAGAGCTCAGCCTGCCTCTGCCTTCTGAGTGCTGGGATTAAAGGTGTGTACCACCATGCCTGCCTGATAGAGGCTATATTCTTTTTATAACTTTGTAAATTAAAAAAATTAACTAATTTCACCAATAAGTTTGTTTACCAGTTCCTCACAATTATTAATCAGATTTTCTCCTTACATAAATTATAACCAAGGAGAAACTCAAAAACTTTCTTCAAGGTGACTCAGATTTATTTATTTATTTATTTATTTATTTACTTATTTATTTATTTGTTTGGTTGGTTGGTTGGTTTTCTTTAAAAAAAAAAAAAAAGGGATCTCATGTAGCCCAGACTGGCCCAAACTTACCATATAGCTGAAGGTGACCTTGAACTTCTGATCATCCTTTCTCTACCTCTTGAGATCTGGAATTAAAGGCATGTGCTACCAAACTCAAGTTTACGTGGTGCTTGGGATGGAACCCAAGCCTTTGTGTGTATGAAGCAAACACACTACCTAATGAAATACATCCCACCATCGAAACCTCATTCTTAACTGTGTTTTCCCTACTTGTCTTTATTTTGTTTTATTTATTATTATTATTTTTAATGGGTATGAGTGCATAGCCTGCATGCTTGAAAGTGCACCCAAGTTGGGCAATGCTCACAGAGGTCAGAAGAGGACGTCGGATTTCCCTGGAACTGGAGTTACAGCCAGTTGTTAGCCACCATATGGGTGCTGGGAATCGAATCTGGGTCCTCTGCAAGAACATCCAGTGTTCTTAACCACTAAGCCAACTCTCCAGTTTCCCCTGCCCCCCGACCCCACAGTTGTCTTTTAGAGCCTCTTTTCCATCTAACCCTGGGTTCTCTCTCTGCCTTCCATTGTCCTGGCAAGGACTCTGTGCTCCACTCTGGGAATGTAAAGCTGCCCACTCAGCTGTGGGAATGAGCTGATGTTTACTACTTGCGTCATTCCATTCTCCTGGCTCTTAAGCACATTCTCCTGTAGTTGCTGTTGGCCTCAGAGATTTGTCCTGAGGATGTCAGGACCTTTTACTACATCATCAAACTTGGGAACCCTGAGATTGCTCCGTCAGTGTATGCCCAAACCAGGTTCAGCTTGGACACTGCTCCTTAATAAAGAAATACCTGTTACATACACACACCCCTCCCTAAAAGAACATGTGCATTTTTAGCAGTGACCATGGAAAAGTTTAGCAGTTCAGAAACCCAGTTTCTCAGGCCATAGGAATTCCCTGAAGGACAACATAAAAATCCCACTGGGTTATAGATGATTATAAAACTCTACCATTATGTACTTCCCTGGTGGCTTATTTTGTTGGGTTGTGGAGGTGATTGTGCTTTCGTGTGTGTGTGTGTGTGTAGGTCAGGGGACAACTTATGGGAATTGGTTTTCTCCTTCCATCTTATGGGTCCTGATATTAAACTCAGATCTTCAGGCTTCGCAGCAAGTACCCTTACCCACTGAGCCATCTCACCAGCCCTCCTTTTACTTTGTAAAGCATGTGACTACTAGAATGTTTTAAATCCCCAGGGTGATTTGTGTTTAACTTCTATTGGCCCTGCTATAGAATTCAAACATTTAAAGCCTCCAGTAGGAGACTATGCTGGTATATTTCAGCTCCATATTGTATCCTGTTCCATATTCTAAATCAATGAATTCCTGATATCCTTAGCTACTGAACATCTTTATTGAATATTCTTCAGTTAATGATCCGGTAATTCAGACCAAGTTTGGTTTAAATTTTCTAAGCTTAAAAACTGCTTCAATATTTTACAGGAAAGTAATTTAGCTGTAAAAAATACCATTCCTAGTGTTTACCTCAAGTATCAATCTTTCTTCTTTTGTATGTATATGCATGTGTGTTCATGTGTGTGTAGGTACACATGTGTTGTGCACATATAGAGGCCAGAAGACAGCCTCCAGGCTTTTCAGGCTATATAGGGACTCTTTGGCCTTTGCTCATATAAGCCAATCTAATAAAGAAATACACTCTTACATACATTTTATTGATTCTGTTCATCTGATTAATACAGTAGCAAACTGGTTTCTTCCAAATATGCCAGGCTAATTTAACATTCAATGTCACGAAATGTGAACAGATTCAAGAAGAAAATCCACTTTAATAAATGTGGAAACCAGGCATGATAGCACACACCTTTAATCCCAGCACTCAGAAGGCAGAGGCAGGTGAGATCGAGGCCAGCCTGGTCTGTAGGAGTTCCAGGCCAGCCAGGGCTACAGAGAGACTCTGTCTAAAAAAATATATATAAATGTGGGGAAAAAGTTTTAAAAATCAACAAAACTACTCAGAAAACTAGAAGAATCTATTTATACAGCCCATCTATCAAAAGATGTAGAAAATCTATTTTATGACAAAAGACTGAATGTTTTTACATTAGGATTGCAAATAAGGATTTTTTAATAATCCTTGTGTAGTACATTAGACTGGGGATTCTAGGTTATCCAATAAGACAAGAAATAAACAATAAAAAGAATGCAAATCAGAAAGAAACAAAAATATCTGTCTTCATGGAACACCATTGTCTTTGTACAAAATTCTGAATAATATGAAAAGAAACCACTAGACATAATGAATGCGTTTGGAAGGGTTTAGGATGCAAAATTAATATTTTTAATCAACTATTTATTTTTTATTATGTGTATGAGTGTTTTGCCTGCATGTAAGTGTACCCATGTCCTGCAATGCATGTGGAGGCCGGAAGAGGGTGCTAGATACCCAGAACTAGAGTTACAGATGGTTGTTAGCCAACATTTGGGTGTTGGAAACTGAACCGGGTCCTCTGGAAGAACAGCCAGTGTTCTTCATCTCTGAGCCATCCCTCCAGCCCCAAGATCAATATTTTTAGAAGACCCTATTTCTGTACATTAGCAATAGAATTGTATCAACTGAAAATGTAGAAAATACCATTTGAAATACCACCAAATCCCAATGAAATGCTTTCATGAAATATAATCTTTATTCCCTCACTATCAATTTATATCTGATCATAGCATGGACAATCTTTATGCTGAGAACTGAAACACTGATAAAAAGAAACCTTTATATCATGAGTTCACAATTAGAGACAATAGCTTCTGTTTACTACATGGGGTTTCTGTCTCTGGCTTGTGATTTCCCCAGGGTCACACAGCTGACAGACTGATGGAGGATTTATGCTTGGATTTTCTGTGCTCCAGACCAGGAATCTTTCCACCTTATCACTCACTCTTCAAAGGGTTGTTTCTTACAGTTTGTAAAATTGCACAGCTTTCACTATGCAATGGAACAAATTCCAAGCAGAGCCAGCCTAGGAGAGGAGTAGTGGAGATCTCTCCCTTGGTGGGTTCGTTGCTCTGATGTGAACACTTGAATGGTCTCAGATTCCATAGGGACAGAGTACTTCTAAGCAATCTTACTTGAGCTGTTCAGGTATCTCCCACCTGTAAAGCACTGTCATTCTCTGTTTGGTTACGAAAGTAAGATAGTTTGAAAACATCACATGTCCCTCAAAGCAATAGCCCTTCAAAAAGCCATTTCTAGCTCCATCTCATTTGACAAGACCAGGACAAAAAGTTCCTTTCTCTGGACATAACAAAGATCTCAAGACCAGCCTGTTCCTACATATTCCCCCCCCACACACACACATACACTTCAGGATCTAGGAAAGTACACACTCATGCCAATTTTGCAGAACAGAAATCAGAGACTTCTACCAGCTGGGAATCATGTGATGTTGGGCAATATTGTACCATGAGTTCATAGTTAATAAACAAAAGCTTTTGTCGGCTGTGTTGGATTTCTATTTCTGGATACTCATACTGGAACACTTCTCTGACCTTGTCTAATATGCATGCACATTTTGCTGGTGTCCAAGCAAATTGAGCCACAAAGATTTTTTTAATGCTTAGTGTGGGAATTTTCACTCAATCTTACCAGTCACCGCCGAAGAAGCTGAGGTAGGAGATTACCTTCCACTGAGAAGTCAAGTTGCACGTGAAACTGTGAAATCTGAGCTCTGACTAATACTGATTTTATAAAAATATATTAAGTTATAAAAATTTAGGGGTCTTCCTTGCCATCAGAGAAATCTCTGGAATTGTCAAGGATTCAGATGGCTTCCTTTTTTAATTGGTTTTACAGTTGTATTGAAGTTTATTTTACATCCTGTAAAATGCTCTCATCTTAAGAGTACAATAAAGTAACTTTTAGTAAACATATGTAGTTCTGCCAACATCACCACAATTCAGTTTTAGAATATTTTCTTCACCCTTGAGATCCTGTCTGCCCATTAGCAGTCACTCCCCATTCCTGGTCCCTGGCAGCCTTGAATCTACTTTCTGTCTGTATAGAATTGCCATTAGTGGACTAGAGAGATGGCTCAGTGGTTAAGAGCACTGGCTGCTCTTACAGTCAACTGGGATTCGATTACCAGCACCTTCATGGTAGCTAACAACCATCTGTAACTCCAGTTCCAGGGAATCTGATGCCATCTTCTGACCTCCTCGGGCATTGCACGACATGGATGCTCTTACACATATGCAGATAATATACTCATACACATAAAATAAATATAAGATATGTTTTAAAAAAATTGTCATTTGTCCACATTTTATGCAAATGGATAGATGAATGAATAATCATATCTCCATTATTCATTTACTCAATAAACCACTTAACAAATATATTCAGCAGGTGTTATTTGCTAGACACTAAGCCAAGTGCTAAGAACTTGCCCTAAAATG